TGTTGAGTAGTCCAAACATTGCTTTTGACGGAATTTGGCGATTAGGTAATTAGAAAGTCGGGCGACGGCCTTCGGATAAGACCATTAGAAGTAGTATTACGTAACTCTAGATTTTATTAAATTGTGTAGTATAATATATTAGTAGGTAATTTAATATTTCAACTGTAGGAAGCGAACATTCAGACACTTAAGTGATAATGCGTAATAAATATAGCTTTAGAATAACATTAGGTTAAGTTAAAGACAATGATGAATAATTTAAATTAATAAAAAATGAACTCGTTGTAAAAATTCACTAATTAACGCAATGGTTCACAAAGCGTGATAACGCACGTGTGCATCGGACGACTGCCACTACTGAACTGTAGTTTAATTCTAATACGTAATTTCATATTTTATCAACTGTTTACTATCTTTATTATTTAGATCAAATTATAAAAACTATAAAATTTATTTATAAACATTTTGACTCTTGATATTTACTCTTTTCTCTTCCATTCTATCAGCTTTATTTCATCTCCTTTCCGTAGTGGCCACGTTTCCGCTCCATAGGTTTTAACCGAACGCAGTCATGTCATATAAAACTGTATCTTAAGCTCTCTCGATATGGATCTAGATCGTAGCAGTTTTACCAGTCCATAGAAAGCTCTATTGTCCGCAATTGTCCTTGCTGTAATTTATTTGGCTATCTTGTTCTTTTCAGTTATAACTGATCCTAAGTATTTAAACTGCTTGGCTCTATTGAAAACATAGTTTCCTACATTCAAGGATGGGTACACACCCATAGTTTGTCGTCTACCAACAACCATGTACTCCGTGCTGCGTTCGCCTATCTGTCGTCTCATTTTTGACGCCATCCCTTGTAGACGGTTGAACAGTGATTTCAGTGCGTTCGGTGATTCTTCCACTAGTGGAAATCGTTCGCGTACGCCAATAGGCCTATTGAGAAATCTTGTAGTTTCACTCCTTCGTCGTATCTAATATGCATTACTCTAATAACTTTCTCTAGCACTATGTTAAATAACACCGGTGACATAGAGTCACCCTGTCTCAAACCTGACTTTACTAATATTGGCTCCGGTTAAATACTTCCTGCTTTGTCTTTAATAAATGTCTCCATAATACATATCTCCACTAACTTTTATCAATTTTTGTGGGAAGTTAAATTTTCTCATAATGTTAATTAAACTCTCTCGATGAATGCTATCATAAGCCTTTCTAAAATCAATAAAAAGAATATGGATTTCCTCGTCAAATTCCTATGTCTATTGGAATATCTGTCGAAGAATAAAAATCTGGTCCGTTATTGATCATCCGGGCCAAAAACCTCCCTAGTAGTCGTCAATAATATTATCCGATGTTTCTTTTATTCTCAATAGGATGCAGTTAGAGAATACTTTATATGTCACATTAAGCAGAGCTATTCCTCGATAATTATTACAATCTTGCATGCTTCCTTTCTTATAGACTGAGTAATTCATAGCTGTTTTCCAGATCTGGCATATCAGTTTTCATATCTTAACTAGCAGTTCCACTCCTCCATTTCTTAGTAGTTCAGCTTGATGAACTTCATTTTCCCCAGGCGCCTTTGTGGCTCTTAAGCCACTTTACCTGAAGCTTTATCTCCTCCAAAGTTGGTTCTGGACAATCTTGTTTATTCCAAGTTTCTATGTCAAAAAGAAAGACTTCTTCCGGTTCTTCGCAATTTAAAAGTTTGTCAAAGTACTCAAGCCATCTTTGAACTATTTCCTCGGATAAGGTTATTAGTGACCTGTCATCACTTTTTAAGAATCTCTCTTTCTTCCCGCCTGCAAGGTGATTTATCTGCTTGTACATGTCTCTAGTTTTGTGAGTTTTATAGTCGAGCTCTGCTTTTTCCAACATGTCCCGGAGGTACTTTCTTTTCTCATACCTCAGTATGTTGCTCGCTTCTCTTTGAAAAAATTTGTAGTTGTCGAATAAAGCTTCATTTTCTGTGTCATTTAGCCAATTACTTCTTGCCACTCTTCTTCTCTCAATAGCTTCTTCACAAATTCTGTTAAACCAAGGTTTGGTTTTTGAAGTTTTCTTTCCTAATATCGTTGTTGCTGCACTATTAATGGATTTACTTATTTGATCCCAGTTCCTATCCACGTCTGCATCGGCTTCTACTTCTCCGCCTCGTAAAACTTCCTTAATTTTGTCACTAAATTCACTGGTTGTTGATTAGTCTTCCAGTTTGTAAATTGCAAACGGTCCTGTATTTACCACACGTTGTTTATTAAGTTTTTTAAATTTTATTTTCATCCATATCCTAACAAGTAGGTGATCCAAATCCAGATCAGCACCCCGTAGTGCCTTTATATTCCGAACACCATTCTTGAATCTGTTATTAATTAGTACAAGGTCTATATGGTTTTTAACTTTTCCATCTGGGGATATCCAGATATATTTATGAATGTCTTTTCTTGGAAACATGCTACTTTTGATCACCAACCCTTTTCCCACCGTAAAATCTATTAGTTTTGATCCATTGCCATTTGAAGTTTCAAGCACGCTATTAATTCTTACCGTGTTTTTACGGCATTGCTCTTTTCTTATCTTTACGTTTATTTCTCCTAGGACCAGCCTGACCTATCCCTCCGAAGTATTGAACACATCTTCCAGTGTTGCGTAAACGAGTTCTTTTTCTATTTCATCTTTATCTTCAGTAGGAGTATGCACGTTGATTAGTACCATATCAACATTTTCTGTTGCTAGAGTTAACGTACATATTCTTGGACTGACCTCTCTAAATTCTTTTATTATACGAATGATTGATTCATATACCGCTAAGCCTGTTCCTAGTCTATGGGCGCGTTCACATCTTCAATTAAAAATAGTCGTTTGAGATACTTTTGTATTGCCAGCATCTTGCCATCTAATTTTCTGAAAGGGCCACACATTTCATCTTGTATTTGTTAACAACCTTCACTAAATTTACAGCCACTCCTTCTTTGTGGAGGAAAGGTACAAGGTCCTTACTTTCCAAGTACCACACATTAGCTCCGATTTCCAGTTTCCAGTCTTTTTTCCGTTAGATCTAGTCCGAGGCTTGGAGTTTGAATCCTGAACGTTATTTTATTACAAGGCAGGGTTGTTAGCCCTGCGCTTAACCCCCAACCTGGAGGACCAGACCACCCCAACCACTTAAGATCAGGGTAGGGCTATTGCAGTGCACCTATTATGTGTACTGGGCGATGGAAGCGCCGATTTCCCCCACGCCTATGAAGCCTGTCTGTCAGCCTATAATATTACTAAGTATGTATATTTTATGATATTATTGTGATTAAAGTAATTTATTTCACATTTAAGCATTAGCATTTAGCACTACAGTAGGTTAAAATAATTTTGTCTTAAAAATTCCATTGTGTGTATAAAATATAATAATATACCTGCTCTAAATGTATCTCTAGACCAACAAATAATATTTTTAAATTACAACAAAATATTTATTTTTATTACCCCAAATGGCAAATTTTAATAATAGACAAACAAGAAATACCTAGGCAAATAGTCAAAGAATATAATTTGTATGCAATTTCACTATCCACCTAAACATTTATTTAGGTATATGAAATATTTTTAGTTTTGTGTCCATGGGTATGAGTTTAAGAAATGAAAAAATTGGTGGCATTTGGTGGAACATTTAACATTTTTTCTTGTTAGCAGTGACATTTATTTAATTATTATTATTTTCGGCCAAACGAATACCGATAAATAATTTTTTTGACATTCATAGAAAAAAAACCAAAAAAAAAATGAAAATGAAAAATGTCCGTTAACAGCTCAGAACGAGTCAAAGAATTAATACTAGTTTTAAAATTTTATCAAGTACAGAATGATATGAAATAAACATTTGATGTAAATTTCAAGTGTATCTGCGGTTATTCGATCAAGAATTACAATAAAATAAGAAAAGTGTTCCATGATAAATCGAGTGAATATTCAATATTGTTAAAATTTAAAATTCAAACACTCATAAAAATGTAATTTGGTTTTTCCGGTACATTTTTTTTTTTAATAATAAAGATAGTCAACTTAATGAGGAATCTTGTACATTTTAAAATCTTGGATATAAAAATAAAAATGTTCATGAATTTCTAACTCCACTTAAAAACTCCTCTGATAAAAAAGTAAATCTAATAGTACTTTTTAGAGGTCAAAATTGAAAATCTTTAGTAGTTTTATAAAGTTTAGAGAAAAACGAAAAAAATTGAAAAAAATTATATTTACGCAAAACCTATTTTTGAAAAAATCGATTTTATATTTTTGGTGTATATCAAAAAATAATTACCACAGACTTTTAAAATTTTTACCAAATTTTTATATTAGCATTCCCATGATAGGATTGCATAACATATTTGCTCAAAGTCATTTTTTGTATGCAATGGTTATCATTGAATTCAAATACAACACATCCATTACAATGACATAAGTACTCGAGAACTACTGCACAGCTGAGTGATACCCAATGGTCCACCTTTTTTTATAAATATTGAAAATAAAAATTCCATGGGGTCAAAAAGTTTTAAAACATAATAAACAATTGTTCATAAGTTGTTATTGTAGCTTTTGATAAGAATTTTTTAGAAGCATTTGAAACTCAAATTTTGACAAAATTCTTTTAAATGTATAGAAAAAAAAGTCATAGGAATGTACGACACCCAAACCTAAGCCAATTTTCACCCTCATTTCCCCACTGTTAATAAGTAATACTTTTAACATTTGTATATACCAATATACCACTGATAATTTGATAGCTAGGCCTTTGACACTTTCGGAGGAGGGGGGTTTCGCAGTCAATACTTGTTCTTTGCGGTGGGTGAATTAAAAATCGATCAAGCAAGAGTACACTGAGTACCAGACACGCCCGGACTTACCGAGCGGTAGCAGTCCCGCCGTCCTGATGACTCGGTGACGCAAGTCGCAAGGTCGCGCTATTACCGACTCGCCGCCGTCGCACAGGTTGCTGTTGTCAGTTGAACACCGTTCACGCTGTTTACGCGCGACAATTTGCATTTGCACAGTTTCCATCTGGATGTTGAGTTAAAAATCATCGTTGAATCAATTATAAGTAGTACGTCCAATTTTGTTTTTGACCAAGACAATCGCAGACGCAGGGGTAAGTAATATTAATACAATAATATATATATATATATATATATATTTATACCAATTTTTTTATTGTAGTACCTATATTATACGCACCTAGTTTATCCCTTAGCACAACTTGTTCATGTGTATACATATATGTACCATACGCGTAGACATCTACTTTCTGGCTTGCTGTATCTACCTCCGTTTAATCAACGTCGGCATCACTACCCTAGGTACTAGATAGATGCATGCCGGGTTCGTGATTTTTATTGGATGGTTTAAGCAAAGAATGCATTTAATTATTGTTATTTTTTAAAATATATTATTATTTAATTTATTCTGTAAATAAATTCTATTGATACTAGTATAAACAGTGGTATTACAGTCAATAATTTTCATTATATATTGTGTCGGTTTTGTCAGTGTTAATCTGGTGCATCAGAACTCTCTCGGTTATTGGGACCAAGAGGTATCAAGTTTTTCTTTTATTTTTTTGGCCACAGCAACTTAAACAATTATACTGTCAATTAAGTACAATTTGTAAAAGTTGTTATGGTTTGATCATTATTTACGACTTTACGAGGTGATAACGATTTTAATAATAATATTTTAATAATTACTTACCCACCACCTTGAGTTACTCAATCAGTAAAGTATATTTTATTATTTTACAAATATCCATCCAAACCATTTAGAAGAAAAGTAGAGAGGGTTCCTTCTGTTGAAATCAATCCTGTAAACTAAACCATTCTTAGATTATGTTTACCACTATAATTATTTACATTTATCATTCCATTTATAATTATATATTATTACCTATTGTACAGTACAATTATTGTAATGTATACATTAATAATTATGTAATTATTAATTTATATTTTAATGTACCTATCTCATTTTGGTGCATTTGATGTAAAATAGTTATTGTTATTTTTGTGATCGTATTGTGCTATCATATAAAATTTAAATTTAAATAATAATAAAAACGCAGGCTTTCAAAAACTATATATTGTAGGTTCGTTAACCTGCAGAGTGTAAAATCGATACGACCGCAAAAGGGAAAATGTTTACTCACAAAAGGAAAAGTATTTACCCCTGCTGTCTACCGAGGCATCATTATCTACTACTTGTTTGTTATACCAATATCCGCACTTATATGAAAACATTGTAAACCGATAATATCCATAAACAATCCTCTAAGGCAGGCTAAAATAGGCATTTTTAAACACCAAATTGGGGTTATGTGTGTGAAAAGTCTTAAGTGCAATCATTTTTCCACGGAATAACTTTATATTATATTACCTACTGTACATAATACTATATAAATGTTCAATTATAAGTAGCTATTATTATAGCTCATTAATTCATCCCCCCACGCATAAAAAAAAATTGTTTAATGATAAAAAAATGTGTTTTTATAGTAAATAAAAAATGCTGAAATCGTCAACTTACGGTGGTGATTTCTAGTAGCAATTTAGCTAGTTGATCACTTTTTTCAATTCCTTATTTTTGTTTTATTTCAGATTATTACAAATTACAATGGAAGTCTTTAAGTTAAATTTTTTTCAGTTATTAAAGACAGTATTCAAGGACAACTTGTATTTGAATTGCACCAAAGTATACATTTCTCCCCAAGTCCAATCAATAGCAACAGCCATAAAAGTTGCCATTAAGGTATAAATATATTTTTATAAATAATTAAATATACTTATGCTAGGTTACATGAAATGTGTATTAATTTAAAGGTCCAATAAAATTTAATGGATCAATCATGGGCCACTAAATCATTTTTAAAGGACCATTAGCTCTATCGATTCATTAAATGTTTAGTGATTGTTCGTGCAGCCCAGCGTAATACACACTGTTTAAAAACGAATTAATTTCGTTTTGACGAGTAGAGGCACCTACATTTAACAATAATTGTATTTATAAATATGTATATTGGAATATATTATACATTCATAAATTTTTTTCTAAAATTAATTTTCGCATAGGTAGTAATATAAAAATAAATTATAATTATTAGAATTTAAACATCATCTAAATTTCTAAATTGTTTGATATTATTAAATCATTAAACTAGATAAAAAAAAACTGTTATAATATTGGTAGTAATATTTTTTCTTAAATACTAGTAATTATAGGCTTTACAGCACTCGTTATTAATGATTAAATCAAATTTTTAGTGTTTTTAGTTATTTATTTAGTATTTTAGTATTTTCAGCTGATAAATCAACATTTTTATTTCGGTTTAAAAGTATTCCATCGATCCGAGTTCCTTAAAATGATTTAAACTTTCAACATTACAATGTTATTATTATATTATCATAACTGGTTTTTAAGACGTCGTTACACTCTCATGTCTTGTCTCCGTCCTACAAATGCATAGCAAAAACTTTAGTCTAAACTAAGAAACCAAATGTTTACACTGCGAGAGGAGAACATTTACTGTGTAACATTGTTTTTATTTTTTTGATATCAGAACTAAAAAAAGTTTGAAAAACTGTAAAATAAAGAATTTTTAAGCAATAATAACTTTTTTCGTATTTGTGATATAGAAATATTAAAAACGTCGCACTGTCAATGTTCTACTCTTTATAGCGTGAAAGTTCGGTAGCTTAGCTTGAGCCTGAGTGGCCCTTACCAGCAAAAAACCATTGTTGCTATATTTTGCGTCATTAAAAATGAGACAACGACTGCGGGTGTAGTGTTCTCTCAATCACAATTCTAAGGAATAGATTGAACAAAAAAAAAAAAAGTAGGTAAGTAAATATCGATTTGCTGTACAGTAGGTTACAAGTGAGTCTTTTTAAAGGATGATGTTAAATTAGAATTCAATGATATAAAATCATTGTATACAAAAAACGATTCCGAGCAAATAGGTGTATATTACTTAGTGCTTTAGTATATTTGATGTTACACAATACTGTGAATAAAGTAATTTATTTTACTAGTAATCATTAGATACTACTACGCTGTACATTAAATTCATTTCTGTCAAAAAAAAATACATTTGAAAAGTCATTGTATGTATAATACATAATGATACCTATACTTTAAAAGTTTCTAGTACCCACGAATAATATTTTTAATTTAAAACAAAATAACATAAATAATTATTTTTGGTTATTTAATAAAATAATATGTAATTTCGTCAAAATTTGAACATAAAAAACTTTTAACTGTGCTTATATATTTTTAGATTTTTTGGTCACAGAATAACCTACTTGAGTGGAACTTTGTTTTACATTTTCAATTTTCAGCTATGAAAATGGAAATTTAAAAAATCGAAGCACTTTATTGTTAAAAAACGTGATGACAAACACAAAAAAAATTTTAAAACACACATCATTAAATCAATACATTCATCACTCAGCTCAGAATCTAAAACAAATAATTTAAAAAGTTTAAGCTCATTGTAATTTTTGTACTATTTAAAATAAAATGTTCAAATCAGATTTATTCTAGAGTGAATAGAAACATGCCGCATGATAAAATTACGTCCCAGGTCGAAGGAAAATCCAGCACATACAATTCTAATTAATGCAATTTATTATACTAAATAATGCTGTATCATTTGTTAAACAAAAAACGAGAGCTTTAAGTTAAATTTTAAATATTTGAAAATATAATTTTGTAGTGTTAAATTGTATTGAAAAAAATATAGAGTTTGCATTGAAAAAACCTTGTTACCTATATTTTTTAAAACTTTGATTAATATTTAAAACCATACATAAATAAATAACAAACAGTATCACATTTATATGACGTATATTTATATTCACCTACACATGAGTTTAAATAAAAATGGGAATAGGTACTTAAAAATGTGTATAAAATCAATTTTTAAACTTAAGACTTAATTTTTAATGATTTTATAGCGAGTTCAAATACCCTTATTTATAACAATTTATAACTGTTTTGTTATTTCCTTTCCAATGATATAGTTTTTGAAGTGAAAAAGTGTTTTATTCACCAGAGTGTTTGGTAAACAATTGTCCTGTATGGCTGTACCTATGGGAGTATTGAATATTGATGTTTATAGTAATTATTGTAGTTGAAATTCAGTCAATTATCATCTAATAGAGTAAAATATACGTCCACACTTTACTTTTCATCGTTTTGTAAAGTTTCCAAAATGAGATTCAGATTTTAATAATTAGACTGTACAGTAAACAGTGGCGGCTCATGGTGCTCAAAGTAGGCGGTGTGCAACTATTGGGACAGTTTATTTAAAAAAGAAAATTAGTCAGTTCTAAATATAAATGTAATTACTAAACTGTTAACCAAAAATTTTTAATGTTGATAAATGGTTTTAGAAAATATATTATATATTAAAATATAACGTATTAGGTAGGAATAGTACCTATATTTTATTTTACTGTAACAACATACAAAAAAAAAATCAAATACATTAAAGCCAATACGGAGCGGCACATTGATATCTTTCACCGTGTGTGTTTATCGCGCTCGACCGCCTGAAAACTGCAATAGGAGCTACACACCATGGTCACATATAATTATTTCCGATTACCCTACTCGACAACCAAATGTATTTCACACGGACAGACGGTGTTCACTGTTCAGACTGAGCTCTTGGTGCCACCAAGTGATATATATCATTAATAAATATGGTATAACAGATATTTATTAAAACTAATGAATTATTGTACATTATTATTTTACATTTTCACTTTTATATCTAAATTAATCTATGTAGTATGCGCACGCCTGCACACCTAGGCACGGCCGCCACTGCAGTACAATGTTTATTTGTATTTGTCTACTACCTAGCTACTGCTAACTCATTTAATACTCCAAGTCCAATATTTATTTTAAATAAATTGGTGATAAATGTGTTTATAATACTGGAATACTGGATTAGGTATATTTGTTAGTTGTAGTTGTAATACTTATTGTATTATTTTAATATGCATAATTGTAATCAGAGATGGTTTTATACCTATTACCTACTGCCTACTGATATATTTGTATTTTGTTTAGGAATATTTTTGGAGAGCATTAGAAATAATTATTGTCTTATTAGACATAAACTATTTATGTTTATTGGTGCCCAAACTAAATTTATTGCCAAATGGTAAGTTTCTTTTATGCTACATAAATTGGTTCAAAATATGGAAAATATTTAATCATTGTTATTCATTTTATAATGGTACTGCATGTGTTGTTTGCAGAGACCTGTTTTAATTTGTCAGATTATGATGTACCATTGAGCATTTATGATATCTCCAAACTTATTCTATCCATATTATTCTCGCATTTTTACTTAAAATATTTTAAGTATAGAGTGAGTTACAAAAAGTTTAATTTTAAATTGTCTAATAATGTGTTATTATGTAATAATAGGTATATATAATTAAGTAAAATATAGGTGGGTTACCCTGGCATCCCAATGACTAAATTCTTATTTTTTTTTTATGACTATTAATTGTACTATAATTTGTAGTAATTTTTTACCGATTTGTACCATAAGTTTCAGAATTTGTACAAAAGTATTTCCCTCGGAAAAATCAATTTTCCGCTGGAGCGCCAGGGTAACGTTACACTAGCACCCCAGTTGCTGAAAAATGGACTTTTAACAATTTTTTTTTTACCATTAATTATTGTACTACACCACCCGAGCGCCAAACTTTACACCAGCACCCCCGTTGCTCATTTTACTTTTAATAATTTTTGTTTACTTATATAGGTGAATTTGTGCCTTTTGTCTGCAGTCTGGCTGAGTACTTAAATGCAGGGTACTGTTCAATATTTGTATTTTTTACGTAATTTAATTTCCTAGTACAATCCAGAAGTGAGAATAAGTTTGTGCAGTCATAAAAAAATATTTAAAAAAATGTTTAATACAAAATTATTATTATTATTTATTATACACATTTCATATGGTTTAAAATTAAAAATATATTTTTACTCGCAGAAATTATCACCATTTAGAAGATAAATATTATAACGAACCTAACCTAACCTAACCTACAGATTTAGCACAACAAATTGTAACAATTTTTTTTACTATTAATTGTACCGATTTGTACCACCAACTTAGGAATTTGTATAAAGTCTATAAAAAGTAATTCCACAAGAAAATTCAATTATACACATATTTTCCCGCTCTGGTCGCTCTTAAATATATATAACAATAACAAAACCGCGAAATGTATTATGATATAATTATTAATTTAAAAAAGTTAAAAAAATCGAAGACGAGTTTGATAATGCTCAATGTACACCGGAATTAGTTCCCTTGGTGATCAATGCAATGCATTTGTATCCTTGTTGATCAGGAATTATGACACATTATTTGGATATGGAGAAGCTACTGTTTCAACTGTTTCAAGTAGCCGTGTTGAAAGTAACTTTAACCAGATTAAGAATAGAGTGTTTAAAACAGAACATTTACTTATTAGGGTGGATGATTTTGTACAAAAATTAGTATATTATTATAAAGGTGATAATTTGCTGCTATAAAATGCTAGATTATTAAATAAAAAATCATTAAATAATAATAATAACAAAACTAATGGAGAAAATGCATAATACAGGATTTTGAAGACATACACAAAGAAACGGATATAGAGGGTTGTGAAGACATACACACGGAAACGGATATAGATGACAATGAAGACATACACACAGAAACAGATTTGGAAATTGTATGTTTATCGTTTGCTGAGAAAGATAATGAAAATGTAGCTGAAGAACATTGGCAAAAAAGAGGAAAATCGACTTCATTGTCTCTCTGTCGATCTGCGAAGTCATATCTTGTTTCCTAACCAGGATTTGATAAATTAAATTTCAACCAAAAAGGTTATAAAAAATCCATATACCTACTCCATATACTTCCTACAAAATGGAAATGTTGTGCAAAATAAACCATATAATTTACCTAAAATAGGCAAAGTTTAGCTAAGTAAAAGCTGTTCTCCCGATTCTTTAGTGATAAGTTTTGCTTGTTCTGCAGCTGATAGTCAAATATTTTTTAAATACATCAATTAAAATAGATAAAACTGCTAAATTCATTATAAATATGATTGATAGAAAACGAAACAGAAATATATACAAAGAACGAATGTCATTATTAACGCCTTATTATTTACCAAATAATAAACAACTTGTTGGAGGTATAGCACTATTAGACGCAATGGATACAATAACTTCTACAGCAACGAAATTATTACATCAAATGCCATCTTATAAAAAGTTAAATCGATGTATTGATTATCTTTGTTCTGAATTTGCTATAGACAACACCAGTCAAGTTATTCAGTTGAATGCTTTTGATGTACGTATCAATATTCAAAAAGAAATTGATTCATTTACAAAAGAAGAAACTACAACATGCACATACTGAAACTCTCGAAGAAAAGTTACATTTAGTACGAAGACCCATATATTAATCGAACTTGTCTCTCTGCCTGAAGGCAAATCAAACTTTTTATGTTGATATATAGGTACGGCAAATTTAAACCTGATTTGGATTTAAAAATAAAAATGTTATATATATTTTTCAGAACTTGAAACATCTACAAGTGTTTGCAGTACTGAAAAAATAGATCAAGTACATCAACACTATGCCGGCGAAGTATTGTTGACCACAGACGAAACACCTAAGGTATTACATGTGAAAGGTATAACCTATTTCATTAGGGGTGCAATCGTATATACAAGTGGAAATAGAAATGGACTAAGAGTAAAAAGTGAACATTACAAAGCATATTGCTTTAGGCCTAACGATCGCTGGGAAATCTATGATGACTTACAAGAAAAAGTATTACAATCTAAAAACAAAAAAAATAATGTTGAATTCCTATTAAATACTAAGTAACAGAAAAAAAACTATTTTTAGTAAAATGTTTGATTTTCATTTAAATAATACATCTGAAAAGTTATAACAATATTATTTTGTGGTTTTGTTATTGTTATGTATATTTAAGAGCGATCAGAGCGAGAAAATATTTATATAATTGTATTTTCTTGTGGAATGACTTTTTACAAAGTAAAAGTAACAGTAAAAGTAGTAAGTTTTTACAATTTTTACAGATTTGATACAAATTTCTAAGTTGGTGGTACAAATGGTACAAATTATAGTACAGTTAATAGTAAAAAAAAAATAAGAATTTAGTCATTGGGGTGCCAGGGTCACCCACCAGTAAAATATTCAGTTTTGTGAGTAATGGACGTATTTTATTAAAATTATAAAGCTTAAATAGTCATTAATCATTATAATCTTTCTCAATATAATGAATAAATAAATGTGTTTTTTTTTTCATAATACGAGTATAAAACTCAAATTGTACTTTGAACTTAAAACCAGAAAAATAATAAATGATTAACTATATTTTTTATTTTAACTTTACTTAATATTTTAAAGTCAATATTTTTAAAAGGACTTAATGTTTTTTTTTACTGACGGCCATTTTTTCGAATTATGATCATGTAATGTTTGGAACTTTGTTCAAATTCTTAGTTTTTGAAAATACCTATTAATACTTACTATTTGAACATAAGTGGACTCAGTGGCGGCGTGAACATTTTTCATTCATGAGATAAAAAACATTTTAGGGATCACCCAATCCGAAAATTGTCGAATAAACTTTCTAACTATTAAACATTTTCAAAATAATTTTTTTTGCAAAACACTGTACTTGATACATTAGATGCCTTATTAGATCAGGAGTTTCAAACCTTTTCTGGTCATGTGCTAACATTTTGTAATCAGTTTTGAACAAAATACATGTGTCAATATTATATGCTTATTATAGGTACTGATAAACAATTTTTTCTCAGGGTGATGAAGGTTTTAAAATCATTCATTGAAATTATTTTAATATCTGTTGTGTATTTTGTTTGTCAAAATGTTTTAATAAAAGAAGCATCATTAGCTTCATTTAATTGCTATGTTTTGATTTGAAATAATTCATTGTGGAAAATAAACTAACATATTAAGTAGGAAGGTACCTAACCTCTATGCAAGTTCACACAAATATTGAGTTTATTTAACCTTTGGAATGAGTCCCTTTTTTTAAAGTACAAAATATCAAGTCAGGAACTCACTACGTTCCTGACTTTTTTAATTGATGACTACATTTTAAGACATAATTTTGTTGTGCACCCCTTTACTTGGTATCCCAGAATAATCAGTGGTACTATCTATACTATCTATACTTGATACCAATGGCCATCCGACTTTTTACACTAGCATCAACCATGCACCCACCCACCTAAAAACCGTCACAAAACCGGGTCTCATGAAAACCTTATCACGCCGCAACTGCAAGTGGTTACAGACTAACAGTGTTCATTAAAGACAATCTATTGAATAGTTATGATTATATACATTTTCTATTAATAGTAAGTATGGTATTATGTTTTATGTAGATTGTGAAAAATATAATTAGCCATTTGTACTTATTTTTAGGTTGGATGGGAAAGTCATAAATGGCTGGAAAATGTTATAATAATTGGATCATACATTGGAGTATTCTCAATAGTCTTAATATTGGGCTGCATCGGCTTGATTATAATTCCAAATACTACTTTTGAAAAAATATATTTTTTTATTTTGCTTATTGTAAGCTGTAAGTACAATAGTTATATATATATATATAGGTAATGGAAAATGATTGTAATTTATTAACTGTTAATTTTAGATTTTGTTTATTATAAGGCATGCACAAAAGATTGGTTTGATAAGTACATATACTCAGCATGTTATACCTACACTTCCACTGTTAACCACATAGTATTGAAAGATCGGCAATATTTGATAGTATCTAATTTAGCAACACGCTGGCATACTAAAAAAGTAAAGAAAATTACACAGGAGGAAAATAAAATAGCTCAATCATCACCACAGGATCCAAGATTAAATAGACATGTTGTAGTAAATAAGGACCTGAATGATATCTACAGTCAACCTTCATCCTTGAATAAATCTCAGTCCCAAGATGGCGAAGGTGAATATCTCATTTCTACTCGGATTGTGCGCCCAGATTCTTATTATCACCAATTAGATACTTCTGGTACGTGTCCGAATATGCTTACTATACTTAGTAGATCTTTCTAGAACACAATATATACTTCAGTAGGTAAAATAACATAACTATTAATTATATTTAAATGAAATAAGTTATAGTATACTTATATGATGGTAATGCACTGGTTAGAAATGAACCATATTTGAAATAATTTATTTTAATTACAGTTTTTATAAATTTTATGTCTAAACATTGAGTAAGTTTTAATTTTTTTTATTAATTTATGACATTAAAAATAACTATGAGAATGTCATAGAATTGTCTATACTATTTAGGTTTACTATAATTTTGATGTCAATACTCATTATATGATTTAATTAGTAAAATACAATTATTATGTAATCTGTAATTATTATCATATATTGTTGTTTTATTATCTCACTCAAATATAAAGAGAAATTTGTCTATTTCTTTAATATAATATTAATAAAATGTTTATACACACACTTTCAACTTATTGTAAATTTCTTATTACAATTTGGAAATTACTTCAAAATGTATACTTAACTTTTTATTCTATATCTTTTTCAGCCTGGGGAAAGTCTGAGTTGAATGAATACCCCAACAAATCACGCCAATACAAGCTTATTCCGATGTAAACAGACAACAGTGGAACGCTCAATACTATTCTGCTTGTTTTCTGTTTGCCATCACCAAGTGTCCAAGCCTAGCAGAATTTTATCTCTTGCTGATAGTTCAATTGTGTCATGTGGTTTTTGTACAGCATGTTGTAACTATATATTAATATAAATATTATATACTATTAATAAGTTAACACAAATAATTACTGTATGACTAGGTATATAATTGTTAATGTACCTAATTGAGTTGTTAAGACAATTACTATATTCTTTTGGCTGTGAATTTATTGTAGAACAATGTTTTTATATTATTTGAAATGAAACCAATTAACAGTATTTTTGTCAGATATTTTTTAATATTTTATTTACATTTGTATAGAATGGAACTGACTTAAAAACAAATCTATGATAGAATATAAATAGAATATAGAATATAAAGTAGATACTAATTTTAGTCAATGGAGTTATGGTATTAATCTATGAGTTACAATCAATGAGATACGAAAACTTATCTGAATACATTTTGCAATTTAATGATAGTAAAAACTAGTTTAAATGTGGCTTTATATTAGTTATGTTCCAATTTAAACATTTTTTTCTGTTGGTTCAAATATCCATAAAGCAGTATGTTGTCTCTATAAAAATAAAAAATTGTTATATAAGATAAATATAGCTTACAAATTGTCTGTGACTGCCAATGGGCTGCTAGTACATGGTTTTAAAGTAAATAGTAAAATTTTTATTTTCAATTAAATTCTTATCTGTCAATAAAGAACTCACTGAACATCTTCTGAATTATTATGTTTACCTATTAATGTAAACATGTTAAAAGAATTTAAAAAAATACTTACTCGTATCATGTCAATTTATTATACGACTTATATTTATAATATATTACATAATATAATGTTTGTGTGTTATGAACATTTGTATTTTGTTTATATTTTATTTATTGAGAAACTTTTTTTAAAAACATTGATTTAAACAAATATATCATTAAGGTCAAATTTTTGTTTATAATGTATCGTCTGTGAAGTTAGTAGTGATATTGATGAAATAATTTATTTCAGCTATAGGGCAGTACTGTAGCATCAATATTTAGTATTTAGATTTTTAGTACTACATTTTTATAGCATAACCTAGACACAAATATCTTTGAAAATAGTATTCACCCAAAATAAATGAAAAAGATGAACTTTTTGCCAACTTAATATAGCTATTTATGTGTGTAAAAAATATTTCAATTTAAGGTCACTCAACATAATCCTATCACATAGGTACTAGTCAGTAGTCGATAGGTATATTATTTGCACACTGAAGTTAATAAATTGATTTTAATAAATTCTATGGATAAAATAAATAGATAACTTTGTTTTAATATTATTATGTATATATTTGACAATTTAAGATGTAAAATACACAATATCTAGTTATATCTCAATAGAATCATTAGACATTTTATATTTTAATATTTTATATACAAACGCTTAAAACAAATAATGGTTATAAATTTACAAATGTTTAAAACTATTTAATTTATGAATAAATCAGTGTTGGTTGAATATGCAGGTTCAGCAAACATTGTACAAATATATCTTTATGATAATTATGATCATTTAAAAATGATCGCATCACTGGATTGTTGCATGGAACCATTGACCCATTAATTAGAACATTTCCCTGCTTTTCATGTGTTACATCAACTTAAACGTTAAACAAAAAAGTTTATTAGCGGTGACTGGAGGTTTTTAATTAGAAGTAAGTTACTGTTATTTACTGTTATAATGTACTGCATGAATATAATTATTATTATAACAATTGTGAATTGTTCTTCATAACATTTGCTGTGACAATGAAGTGCCTACACAATACGCACATATTGAAGCATGACGAATACTTTTGAATAAATATTATTTCAAACATTTTAGGTGAAATATTTATTGGTAGTATTGAAAAATTGTTTTTTATTTACAGTTTTTTAGGTTGATATAATTTGTGTATTTTTATTTTTTCATAGAGAATATTAAATAATATTTAATAAGTAAAAAACTTGTACAGTTTAATAATTATAGTCGTCATTCAACAATATTGGTAAAAAATAATATTATTATGATTGATAACTATAATATTATATTGTTATTATGCTTAAACCAAATACTATACAGATATCAATACTGGACATGCAATGTTAAAATAATTGTTACATGTATCCTCATATACATATATATAGTTATCCTCATGCGTTTTGGCAAGGAAATAAATGCGTTGCAGTTTTTAATCGAGTTGTCTAGTATTCTTTTTTGTAGTAGGTATTTGGTTACACCCACGGGTGTAAATACTATGGTTGCCAATCGGCCTATGTTCAGTAATACAAGCAATGGACGTTTAAGTTTCTTACTAAATCACAATACTAAATAACACATTCAGATGACATGAATTTTTAAAAGGGATAAATGGTAATGAATCTCTGATGGGCAATCATAGTAGGTATCTATAGCCGTGGTTAAACCTAACTACAAAAAATATATTTTGTTGATAATAATCATCAAACATTGCTGTTTTATGATATACTAGCTGAATAAGCCGGCTTCGACATGCACAGTTTTTTTGTATAACCTACTATAACTTTTATTTTATCAGTTTTTATATTTATTACTGGCTGCTTTTAGATAAGTTTATCCTAGGTTGCCCATGTATTGTAACAATCAGAAGTCAGCAGAAAATTACTTAATTTTAATATTTTGAAGACAAATTTAATCGACGAAATGTTGAAATAAAATATACCCAAAAAATTATAACTTTCTGTAATTGAAAACAATGTTTTATCTATTATTATAACTATTATTACTGTTATTTGTATTATTCTTATTATTACTATTTTTACTTATTATTATTGTAACATTATTATATACATTATAGTGTTATAAAAGCCCACCAATATTTATATAGACAAATTTTGTTCATCTCAATACCTCTTTATAAACAGTATTTTTGGTACTACCTTTTGAGGCTAAAATAACCAAACTACTGGCAGAGCTGACTCTAGAACATGCAACATAAAACTGTCCATGTGAAAAACATTCTTCTCTCAAGTCAATCCTTGCCATGTTCAATAATTGTCCTTAACACTTATTAATAGCCATAGCAAAGCAAACTTTGAGTGGGAATTGTATTCTTTTAAACTCAAAGGGATAATCAGTTGGAATTAACGTTATTCTTGGGATTAAAACTATATCTCCTCTAGCACACCCAGTGATAACTATAGCTTCGATTACATTTTTGTGCAGAGCTTTAACTTGTAATCTAGTTCCATAACACAATTTAGGTGGGTTAAGATTTCTTAGTAACATTATAAGTGCTCCAATTTTAAGGATAAGTTTATATGATGAAAGACCAGAAGGATTCAGAGAATTAAGAAATTCTAAAGGATAATGGACAGCATCATCCGATTGGATCACCGAATCAAAAGATTTATATTCAACAGCTTTTTCATTAAATGCCTTTAGTAGGATTTCATTGATTTCGGCTGCCTTGTCGTTCTTTGGAGTTAAGATAGCTCGCTAACCATTCGAAGGGTTTCATCTTGATATTTATTATATCTGGGAAAATTCTGGAAGTTAGTTCTGATAAAGAGCTAACAACTGTACACAAATTTGAGGGAATAGTGATCTCACCTTCCAATGAAAGGAAATTTCCGTCTCCTATTTTAAGTAACATTTCAGCGAAAATCCCAGCAGATATGTCACCTTTCACATGAACCCTCATATTTTTATGAAGTGCAACTTTGTGGATATGTGGCCACAAATACGAAGCTTTTAGACATGACTTTACTTCATCAGCCCTAGGTATAACGGGTAATGTTTGCCGAAAAATCTCCTGCTAGCAGCACAGTGACTCCACCCATCAAACTATTATATTCTCTTATATCTTTTAATGTTCTATTGAGAGCTTCAAAGCCACCCTTGTGGGCCATTGTGCATTCATCTCAAACTATTAACTTACAGTCTTTTAGAACTTGTGCTATATTACTCTGGAAATATTGCACATAGGTGTCTCTACTTTCGTTAGGTTTAATGGTAATTTAAATACAGAATGAGCTGTTTCACCTCCTTCTAGCAATGTAGCAACGATGCCTGAAGAAGCTACAGCCAAAGCTATTCCATGATCTTTTCGTACTCTGGCCAATAAAATATTTATGACAAATGTTTTACCAGTGGCTCCAGGTGCATCTAAGAAAAATGTTTGGCCAGTGTTCTTTTCAATGCCCTCTAATATTTTGTCATAAACATAGGGCTGTTCATTATTTAGTAAATATTCATTTAAATGTATACTGTGCCAAAATATTTGAATCATAATTGATCTCTCGAAGGTAATCTTTATTTTGTAAGACTGCTTCACATCTTGATGGCTGAGGTAAACCATTATGTTGCAAACATTTACCTCTCAGAGATATAACTGTATCTTCAAGAGTACTAAGCATTTATTGTATACTTCATTAATAATTGAATTCACATTCTCGTGTTGTATATCCAACTCCACTCATGTCATATATCTTCTGAAAGACTGTTCTTGTATTTTTCCCAAAGACTTAAAGCATCTGACTATTGACAAAATATCAACATAATTGTAAAAAGTTCCTGTAATTTAAATGGAAAACCACAAAGCACAGATCCTTCCATAGTTTTATCCCAGCGCCTTTCGTCTTCCAGTAAGCCTAGAGCCTTACACGCTGCCTGATAAGTAGGTTGAATTGTGCCGTCAACAGTTTTCAATTTCAAAAAAGATGTAAAACCTGAGAATTTCATAAAGTAAAAGGTGAAGATAGTAACACTCGGTATTATTAGGGTGAATGGTATATACTCTACACAGAGCTTGATTTCTTTTTATTCCCGGCCAACCATTTACGTTAATTCCACGTTTTCTTCTCTCAAATCTATTATTTTTCCATACATAGTAAGAGGGAACATCAACATAAAGAAGTGTTTTTGCAAAATCATCTATTTTACATGAGTCGAAAAATACTAAAAGAGTAGTTTTTGGTGGATTGTTAATCATGTCTGTTGAGCAACTGGGGGCCAATTCTTGAAATTATGCGACTAATTCTCACATGCGATAAAAGTCACAGATTTTATCGAAGGTGACTAATTTTAATCGCATGCGACTTAAAATTGGTATTCTTGAACTAAATCGATAAGATTTTATCACTTGTCGTATGCGATAAAGTATTCCGAATGAACCACTGTGGTAACAACACAAAATCTAGATTTTAACCTCAAATAATCCGGAATTCTACATAATATTTACTAGTTCTAGATAAGAAGTACTAGATAGTACTAGATAGTACTAGTCTCTAAACCGTGATTAACTTTACAACCTTACAGTTAAGTATTTGTTATATTTTTTTTTTGTTTATTTTGTTATAAGTACCATACTACCATTTTTAATATTATAATGTCTAAAGACACTAAAGTGAGACCAACTCAAACCCAGATGAGGTATTTGGTTGATCTAATGGCCAATGATCAACAATTGTGTTCGGGCAAGTTTACTAAAAGTTTTACACATAAAATTGCTCAACAAAGATGGGAAAGCATCTCTATTCAATTAAATGCATTACCAGGTGCGGAGAAGAGTTGGAATAAGTGGAAGAAAGTAAGTTAATTTGTTTGGTGGAGATATTAATTTTATAAGTATTTATAATTATTTTTTTCTGAACTAAAAATCTCTGCTCTGCTAAAAATGAGTAAAAATACTGTAACCAAACTTAAATCTTGTATTAAAAGAAATTAAGGGCCACTACATACTATCTTAAATGTTGTTATCTATCTTAAAAAACTCTTAATGAGTTATCTTACATGTTTAAATAAATATTATTTGAAGTTGAGACTCCAAACTAATTTAAGTTGATTAGGTATTACATTTTTAGTAGAGTAATAGCCTATGAATTAATCTTTTTAATTTTTAAAAAGTAGTTATCTTTAAATTAATTGTATTGTAATAATTAAGACATGGCAAGATACTAGAAACATAACAAAATCTAAAGCGGCAGCTATTAAAAGGCACATAGGAGGTACAGGTGGTGGATCAAAATGCGAAATTGAACTAAATGAAGTTCAAAAGGAAATTTTACCTTTATTTAGCCAAGCATCTGTTAGCGGTCACTTTAATTCTGAAGAGTCAGTGGTTGAGTTTGACTTTGATGATACAACTAAAGATGTGTTAACTGGTAAATTTATATATATTTCATTTATTCTAGTAATATTCAATCGTACATAAATAATTACACAGTATAGTCTTTGAATTAAATATATTTTTATTTGTATAAGTCCTACCAATTCATGTTTTATTGTATGTATTTCACATTTTGTTAAGTAATGTTCAACTATAGTATTGTATTGTTTTTAGATGCTAATGAATTATGTATTGAAGAGTTGGTAGAGACAATCACTTACAGTAATTCTGAGAAAGAAAATAATGAACCCCCATTAAACATTAAAGCTGTGAATGAAAATTATTACGAGCCTTCAACTTTTGAACCATTAACAACAACTACAAGTGCTCATAAACCAAGTAAAAACTTCCAAATAAGTTTAAAAAAAAAAAAATTATTTTTTTATTATTTTTTAATTTATTTAATTAATTAATTAATTTATTTATTTTTAATGATAAATTATATGACTGATTAATTTTTTTTACCAAAGATTGGCTTTTAAATTACTTTTTTTATTTTGTTTTTAGTTTTTTATTTTTTTTTATCTTTTAGCAATTAAAATGTTTAAAATATACAGTTAGTTAAAAAACTAGTTAAGTTCAAATTTGAATTTTTTCAAGCATCTTTGACCTTTTAAGTTTTGCTCAAATTTATAAGTGATTTCGTATTTCGTATAATATTATAGATTCAAAGAGAAAATTAACTGCTGGGGCCAAATTAGATGAAAGCAATTCAATTGCAGAGCGACTGGCTAAAATTTCAGAGGAAAAATGTCGTGTTAAAGCAGTATATTATGACAAAAAATTAAAACTTATGGAAGAAAACAATAAAATCTTAAAAAATATAGAAACCGTAGTCTCTACTTTTATACATGAAAAGTCTAAAATTTTATGATGAAACTAAAGAATGAAAAATTTATTTTTAATGAAAAATTATATGACTGATTAATTTTTTTTACCAAAGATTGGCTACTTAAATTACTTTTTTTATTTTGTTTTTAGTTATTTAGTTAATAAGTTATACATGTTATTATATTTACTAAAAGGTTACATTTTTATTTTATACTTTATATTTACAAGGATATGTTACACATTTTATTTTAATTTGTTTTTTAATAATAAAAATTATTACTTATTTATGTGTTGTTAGGTTGTCTTATGATTTAAGAGAGTTGAAAAAATGCATATAATGTAATTAGTTATATAACATTTCTATGTGATAAATATCTGATTACTCTATTTCTCTGTTGTCTTCCCAGTGTTAAATCTATGTTTCGGTTAAAATCAGCCAAGATGTCTTGATCTTCCACCATACCCAAATTATCAAGATCTTCAATATTAGGACCATCAGGCATAGGAACATTATTTGTGATACACATATTGTGCAGTACTACACATGCATTTATAATGGAAGATGCTTTTTCGGGCTTATAATGCAGTGTCCTATCTCTTAATAAGCACCTAAAAATAAATATATAAATGTTTATTGCTAAAATATCATTACAAAAAAAAAAAAAAGTTGAAAAAAAATCCTACCTAAATCGCATTTTTAGCACTCCATTACAGCGTTCAATTATACTCCTAGTTGACATTTGTCTTCTATTATAATTTTCTTCAGCTTCAGTGCTAGGATCTGGTATAGGTGTTAATAGCCATTGACGCAAAGCGTATCCAGAATCGCCTTAAAATATTTTTTAAATAAATAATGATATACCAAACTGAATTTATTAATAAGGGACTTGTTAGACAATAGACATAATATTTACCTAATAAATAAAAATTATTGTAATTGCGTCTATGCAATTCTTGCAGAATTGGTAAAACTTTACTGTTATTCCACACATGTGTATCGTGAGTACTGCCAGGGAATAAAGCGTTGACATTCAATATTTTTAAATTTGAATCACAAATCTAGTTCAAAGTTCAAATTATTAATATATAGCACTAACACAAGTTTATTCCTATGTTTTACAAATAACATTTATCTATCAATTTAAATTATCCTAGTTGAAGTACAAACAGTTTTTAGAAATTTAAATACATTAATAATAAGATCTGATTATGAATTTTTTAAAGCATTTGTGTTTATGATATCACAGAAAAATTGTATGATTTAAAAATGTTTAAATAATTAAAAACAATTATATTTTCCAATCAAAATTTTAATAAAATTGGATGATAATTTAATAGTTAACATTTAAATCTAATACAACATATTACCAATTGGACATTGATTGAATGATATCCCTTACGGTTAACATATATGTATTCGGGATGTTGATTTTCATTTAAATTTAAATTTGTTGAAGGGGGTGTGATTGCCACATGTGTACAATCAATACACCCAACAACACCAGGAAATCCAGTATTCCTGTAGAAACTAAATGATATATAATTTAAAAACATGCCAAACAATTTTTTTTTTAAATTTAAAACTTACCCATTACGGATATCATTGAGTTCATTTATATTTTTTGGAAACTTAACCCAAGCATTAAATATTTCGGGCAGGTTTAATGCAGTCACAACTTCACTGATACAGCGGGATACAGAAGGTTGGGATAGACCCATAAATCTACTGTTACCAATAGGCGATTGGTAAGAGCCCGTAGCCAAAAAATTTAAAGTTACAAAAATTTATGAAAATTAAAAATAGGTAAACCATAATTGATTAATAATATACAGTATAGTAGGTAGTATAAAAAATTACCTATATAAAAAAATTAAATAAAATTCCCATTATAATAATATAATGACTAGGAAATGGATTTGAACATAAGCGTGCGCACGGGGTAGTCATGGTAGGCACTTGACTACTCTGCGAACTCCTTTGGCCCCCTTCAATATTCAATATTATTATTATGATAATTGATAGTCAATCATAAAATACTGTTTCACTATGGTAAATGTAGTTAAATGAGGTTACCCCATCAAAATTAGTTTTTGTAACTTAGGTGTGAATATGAATATTATATGTATATACATAATATGTGTGTGTGTGTTAATGTGTTATGTACTTATGTATACTTATGTATGACTACCCTGCCAGAAATTCTGCGCATGCTTATGGATTTGAATACTCTAAAAAACAAGAAAAATACCTTAAAAGTACGATTTAAGTTACATTTTTTAATTCATTGATGTATGAAATTAACTTTGTGCTTGGAATGTTTGGCAATGTTTTTGGACATAAAGAAAAAATGTAATTGCATTCAAATCCGTTCCCTATCAATGGCTATGCCTTACTTTAGTATTCAGATCAATCGCAGATGAACGGAAAGAATTTGATAAATGGGGACTTAATAGGATAATTAAATCTTTTACAACGTCTTTAGTGAGTCGAAAGTTTTTTATGAATAACCGATCGGTTAATTTAAATGGATCCGTAATCATTTCCTTATTTCGTGTTTGTCTTTCATGATGCGCATTATTGAAATTATTTTGATGTTCTTCGACGTTATTAACAGCAAACAACATTGCCATTTCCTCAAAATTGGCCATTATAATTATAATATTAAAGAAAATGGGAAAAAACAAGTAATAACAAAACAGTCCACAAATTTGATGACGCGCGACGCTGTAAATGCGGCAATGTACCTATGCAAAATTGTATTGATATTTATTTATTTAATGTGGACCATAAGTCACAATACAACATTATATAAATTTAAGTTGTTAATTGTTATCAAATTAAAATTATTAAATGATTATTGGTATGACATATATTTATAAATTATCATGCGATATAGTCTTGTCACCGAGTTTTACCCAGTCGACTAATAGTCGAATGTTTTTCGTTCGATTACAGTCATACCTTTTTTCAAGAATACCAAATATTTATTTTCATGCGATAAAATGTTTATCGCATGCGACAAAGTTTATCACGATTTCAAGAATTGGCCCCCTGGAGTCATTAGGGTTGAAATAAACACTCTGGCCATTTTCTAAATGCATAGAAAGATTGTAGGAAATCTCTCGTGGATAGGAAAAGCCAGAATTCTCCATACAGCCTCAGAACTACTCCTGTTGGAAAAACCTGTGTGCGTCGTCGATTATGGCAAGCGTTATAATAGAATCATGAATGACACAGGCCACCGTATTATTTTAAAATCGAAATCAATTATATAATGTGTTATCAATAAAGTGTTTAGTACCCGAGACATTATATACCTGCTCGTCGTTCGGTATAAAGCAGGTCAAAAAAAAAACCTCTTAAGTACAGAACAGTATGGAAAAGATAAATTGGGGAAAATAATCAACGATTTTCAAATCATATCTAGTGGTTGAAGAATACTTAACCACTAGTCTTGGTTAGCTTTTTCAGGGTTTCATATGTTAAAATGTTTTGGCTGTAATAGCCACATTTCTCAAATTATTTAGTTACCAATTTAATTAACATACAAATAATAATTTTTTAATATATTTTTAGATAGTCATTGACAACGATAGATTTATTGAAATTATAGCTCTTTATGCAGCTAGAAATACAATGGAGTTCAATCTGAAGAAACTGGAAAAGTATGCATGCATAAATTATATTTCATAGCCTTTTGAATTATTTTATGGGTTTCAAGAATTTGATAAGGCTAAATTACCACTTAATTTTTTTACAGTTGAAATTTTGAACCGTTGAAAACGGTTATCAAGAAATTTGTAATGAATGGTTATTTCCAACATTTGAAATAGATAATAATCCATTGTGTAAGTGAGACTTCCAAGAACCTTAAATTATTTTATACTCATCAATATTTTCTTCATCAACTAACAATTGTGAAATATAAATTTTATTAGTTATTTTAAGCCAATTGTGTAATGCACAACAAGAAATAGTGATTTTGTCAACTGAAGAGACATCACAAGGAATTAGTATTTCAAAAACACAACATTTTTCAACAAAGATACCAACAGCATTTTTTACAATATGTCTCGAACAAGCGTTAATTGTTTTCGAAAATATGGCTGTAATAAATATGGTTATCATCCTCTCCTATCCTAGAGGATTTCCTCTACCTGGTAGCAGATTATTTTCTAATGTTTTTGATATTTCACAATTATGGAAAACTCCTACATCTGAAAATCTTCCCATTACACCCCACTTCAACATACCTAAAGCAATAATTACTATCAACAATTGCCATAAGAACAACACTATTAGCACCCTTGTAGTTAAAATAATAGCTTCCACAATTTGGAGGGGCACGAATACAATTGAATTTCACGAATATGATTACACAAATTTCCATCAATAGCCCCATACCATCCTGGAAAGGTCCATCTTTTATTGAACCCTTCTTCAATATTTTTCCATTTTTCATGTATATTAGGCACCTGAAATTAGAAAAGACAAAATTTAAACTAATTGATTTTATTTTAGGTAACAACACCAAAGATTGTTATTAGCAGATGGCATTGATTAGGATATTAGTAATTATGACGTCATGCAAGATTCCAGTAAACAGTTCTTTTCACAAAAGAAACTTCATATAAATTGATGCAATGAATGATATCGGAAAATAATAAATTTCAAGAGAATCAACCCAAAACTACAAAATTACAAGACATTTTGTCCACCGTTAAAGAACTTCAAAATTTAACTGAAGTGATTAATGCTGGGCCTCAAGAAAATGAATTTCAAAGTTTTGCAAAACACATAGTATTACAATTAGAAAAATTATCTCCTCTAAACGCATTAACTGTACGAATAAAAATTCAGTCTTTATTAACTGAATTAAGAATACAAGAAGTTAGAACAACTTGAAACAATTTGGGAATATGGTGGCAATAAAGATAAAATAATAAATAAATGATCTATTCTGCTACACTGTCAACAGAATAAAGTTCATCATCATTCATCAAAGGTATGAGCTGATTCAAAATGTAATTTTACATGATTCAGTAGCAAGTGGTATTTTATCTTCGGCTATTAGGAATACTTTGTGAATACACGTGATGCGGATAATATTATCAACATTGTGACTATTCAAAATATGAAAGACATTTAATTAGGTTTTATATTTTACTTTTCATTTTCATGTTTAGAAAAGTTATTGTCTCTTTTTTTTTAATACTGTTTATTGAAATATAAATAAAAATGTATAAATGCATTGATCACCTTGAAAGTTATGATGTAATCATATACATGAAAAATTGTTGTTTTTTAAAAAAATATTATTTAAGTCTAAATAAAAAGATAAATTTTTCTTTTTATAGATAACATTAGACATTTTAAATAGTAGATTCCAAATAAGTTTTTCTATCTGAAGCAAAAAAAAGTTCAGTGGAAGGTTACTCTATTTATGGACATGAGATATTTTTAATTTGTATTAATTTATTTTAATTATTAAACTTGATTATTTATACAAGTATGCTAGGATGAAACAAAATATTAAAAAGATATTAATGCAACCAGAACTTTTATAAAATGCTTCAAACTTTCATATAAGGCGATTTATACTTCAGAATAAACTCTGAAATAGCTGCGCTTGAAACTCAAATTACTGTAGGTTTTGGAATAATAGATTGTTTCTTGTACATCAACATTGATAACAATATTCCAAGTAGATTAAAAGGTTATAAAAAAAATTTACTTCAAATTTAACAAATTATGATAATATACAATCTCTACTTTTGATGTGTGTGTACTTCATAAGAACAATAGTTTTTTATATTTATCTAAGAAAAGCAATACAAAATGGATTTGTTAAACAGAAATTTGTTTCAAAGTATTTGAGTATAAGTCTTGCTTATTACTGTCAAACACTTTTAAGTATTTTAAGTATGAAATAGTAAATTTGATTCAATAAGTCAGATCTTGGAAAATTACTAAAATATTTTATTAGCACACAAATAATTTCATTATTTCATCACCTCTTTTATTATCTAGATAGTAAAGTTTTATATTTATCTTTATTTATACCTAAATCATTTTTTACGAAATTATCTAAACTTTATCTAGATACTTTTTTTGTTATCTGAGATCAACACAGTAAATTAATACAGTAGTAATAATAATAATAATAATAATAATATTAAAATAGTGAATAATTCGCACATCACAGTAGAACATTTAGTATGACAAATAATGTGTAAATCAAATAAACTTTACTTAAGGTACTGCACTAATGTACTGAGAGAATTATGCCAACAGTATTCAATAAAGATTGCTAATCATATTTATTTATTTTATAAATGGATAATGTCCTCCAATAGTAAAATTGTACTGTTTGATAATAAATAGGGATTGATATACAATTTATACAAGAAAAATATAAACACAATTGCATCTATAAAATATTAAATACAATCATAAAATTCTACCTAAAGCAGATAATTACTATACATTTATGCAAGTAATATTAAGTATGTTTTTTATCAGTAATTGTTAATTTGAATTTAAACAATATATAAGATTCACATACTATATTATTACTGTATCTGACTAATTATATAATAATTTTGTAGTTATAAACTTAGAACAAAAAAATTTATTAACCTAGATGGGGAATTTTGAATTGTAAAAGCGTAAATGACATTACGTGCTTTGTTCGGTGCAGTTACAAATTGTTCAATGTAAAGGGTTTGTCATGGGAATCTTCTAAGCCTCATTATTTTCA